GAAAAAATATAATAAAACGTTTTGAACTAGAATGAAAATTTATAATGTTTCTTGTGCAAATAGTATATTAAAACAGAGAATACTCAGAAATGTTTATATCCCAAAATTTATTTAAAAAAACACGAAAACACAGTTACCATTTTAAAAAGATTTGATACTATTAATCTTTAAAATTAAAAAAACTGCAGATTAAGAACATTTGCTAAAAAGGCTTTTATTTTGCCTTGATAAATTTCATGCTGTTAAATTATTAAATTTGTTTCTATCTTTAAAATGAATTTGAAGTATTGTACTTTACTTTACAACTTGTTCCACATTAAGTCAATAATATAAACATTTTACACTGGCAGGACTGAAACGATTTTATAGTAATGGTATGAATTTTTACTTACATTTTCTTTTCGCAAATAAATGCAGCAAAATACCAAATGTAACAACTTTTCTATACAACGATATTTGTTATAAGGAGAGTAATACATTTTTAATAGTATTTCCATATTTTATTCATACGTTATTCATCCAATCGCAAGAAAACCAGTTTTAAGTATTCAACACATTTTTTTTTAAAAAAAAATATGTACCGTTTCAAAGCTGGAAGATTATTTTAATATTTATTATTTGCTAAAAGAACCAAACGTAGCAATAAACTATAAAATTTAGATATTAATAAAACATTTTAATTCTAAGAGTTTAAATCTGGCTAAATTTTCACAAAAATATAGGACACGATTTTAAAATGTTTCTTAGATGATTCATATGCTTTAAATACATTTTTAAATTGTTTTATATACATCGACATTTATTGCAAAACATGTATAATTTAAATCTTGTACACATTTATTTATATACATTTATTATATACATTTTTTTACATAATTTTATATACATTTTACTTTTATTTATTTATTTGCAGTTCAAAATTTTTATAGGTTTCTTACAATCTCTATTACTATTTTCAAACAATTAAAACTACATCTACGGAATATTTAGAAGTCAACTTTGAACTTCTGCAACCTTTGATCTATTGGTTCTACGTCTTCAGAACAGAGCCTTTTTCCATGTTGTACAATTGTAATAAATTTATTAGAACATGAATATGACATTTAATCTTCAGTCAACGTCTTCAAGGTTATAAAAATAAAATGTAGTCCTGTGTGCTTCTGTAGGTAGCATGATTTATTTCAATCTGTGCGATTTGCCAACAGAAACTGATGAGAAATGGATGTCAGAGATGAGATCGTTTCCATTTCAGAATAACTCGGAATGATGGATGATGACTATTTTTTCGAAAGGAAAATTAATAGTTCTGAGGAATTTTCAGCATGGATAGTTCTTTCGTATCCGAAATTTTCGAACTTAAGTACATAAATACTATTTGCCTATAAAACGTCTGTTTCAGGAATGTTTAACATAATGTTTACAAACATTACGTGAAATGTAACTTATTCTATCCATTTCATTATTTCGGGGTAAATTCGATAAATTACCTTCAGTTTATATGTGAAGAAACTGTCTAATATAATTTCACATTGGGGTATTAAGAGTTGAGGATTTTGGACTAAGATATGCATAATTTTCTAATAACGTCGGCTGGGATTAAGAAACTTAGCAACCCGTAATAAATACAGTTTGCATTATTATCTTGATTTAAATTTCATTAGTGTGTGTGTTTCTATTTTTTAATTCCTACTATAAGTTCACACACTCCCCTTATATATACATACACACACACATTATATATATATATATATATATATATATCTTGTTCAAATTTTCAATCGTTAATAAATGCATTTTATTCATCCATTCAAATACTTTTTTTTCTTAACTTGTAGTGGATGACACTTGATGTTGATAAAGTTACTTCAGATATTAATTCAGTCATTAAATTTAATTAATGAACAAATAGCAACAAAAAAAATAGTCCAACACCATATACATAAAGGAAAACCGTTCGTTGTATCCCTGGAGCGCAATGGATAGCGCGTTGGACTTCTAATCCAAAGGTCGACATTTGAATCCCCCCTGGGATGGCCTAATTTCTGAGAATGTGATTACTTTTTACTATACGATTTTATTAGAATAATTAAATTTAATGAATAAATGGTAACAAAAAAAAGTAATCCAACGCCCTATATAGAAAAGAAAATTGAAAACTGCAAGGAAAATCGCTTTCTATTTTGTCATTTAAGGTATCCGACTACGTTCGGAACCGTGATTTTAAAAAAAGCGCATAAATGGATAATTTTCATGACATTTAGTGTCACTCAGATTAGAATACTTGCATAAAATTGTTTTAAGGACATTTTGACGAAAAATAATTATTTAAATACAATATTTTGGCAAAAAATTAACTTAGAATAATCTTTTTTCGAAATGTTCTCCTTTTGTGAAAAATGCTTCCATTATAATAATATTTTGCCTGTATATAGCTCAGACCTTTCTACAGAGGCTCAACTAGAATTTTCGAAAAATTCATATTATTTTCAGAGTTACCACAAATTGAAATAATTATTGGCGTATTTTCTTAAAATTGCTCCCCTTTGTTGTCGTAAAATATGGATAAACCCCACTTCTTAGTTATATATTTCAAAAGTTCTATATTTGAGTCTCTGTACAGAGGTCTGAGCTATACACAGGCAAAATATTATTATAATAGAAGCATTGTTCACAAAAGGAGAACATTTTGAAAAAAGATTATTCTAAGTTAATTTTTAGCCAAAATATTGTATTTAAATAATTTTTTTTGACACAAAATGTCGTTAAAACAATTTTATACATGTATTCTAATCTAAGTGGCACTAAATATCATGAAAAATATCCATTTATGCGTTTTTGCAAAATCACGGTTCCGAACGTAGTCGGATACCTTTAATATTGTGATTATGTCATATGTTTATACATATTTATATTAATTGAAATAATTAAGTAAAAGTAACTAAAATAAAAATTTTCTTTGTTGATCTAAGCAGGATTTGACTTCAAATTTTTTTTTAATATTACTTGTTATTAGTAGGATAGCTAAAATAGTCGTAGTTGCCAAATAATTTTACAAGGTTTAGAGAATGTCTTTTGACTTTCTTGTTAAGAAATTTGGCAAACATGTGAAATTAATTGAAAATGAAAAAAGAAAGAAAAAAATAATTAAGTGATTAAGTATTTGGGGAGGGGATAACAAAAGTCGCTGACACGAACAGTATAAATCAATTTCTTTTATGCCACTTTCGTTAAAATTCGAATCACTTATGTATTAACAACATGCCTATACTATTTTTTGCCTATATTATTATTTGATTAGTATCGATCCCATTTTGAAGCTACACAAAGACTACTGACGACGGATCTCGTAAATTTGAATCAGTACAAGCTACAAGGACAATACCCGAGCTTGAACCTTACTCTCCCAACTTACCCGTCATGCCAACGTGAATGTTTTGCACCAAGATAGATTTAACGGATCCCCTACTCGACGAGTTTTCAATGCCATCGAAAATTTACAGGAACAATTCCATCCGTGAGTTAGCCTCTATGACCTCTCAATAATGCGCGGTCCTTTATTAAATTCCTACTATTAGTTCACACTCTCCCTTTACATATATATCTTGTTCAAATTTTCAATCGTTAATAAAATACTTTTTATTCATCCACTCTAGTTCAAGTACAATTTTTTTAAACTTTTAGTGGATGACACTTGATGCTAATACAGTTTTTTCAAATATTAATTCATTAATTAAATTTAAGCAAATGAATAAATAGTGAACAAAAATAATTGTCCAACACCATATATAAAAAGGAAAATCACTCGTTGTGTCCCTGTAGGGCAATAGGTAGCGCGTTGGACTTCTAATCAGAAAGTCGTAAGTTCGAATCTCACCTGGGATGGCCTAGTTTCTGAGAATAAAATATTTCTTTTTACTATACTACTTTATAGGAATAATTAAATTTAATTAATGAATATATAAATAGTAATAAACACAAACAAAAAATAGTCCAACACCATGTATAAAAATGAAAATGTAAAATTGTAGGGAAAATAGCTTTCTATTTTGTCATTTAATATTGTGATTCTCTCTCTGTCATATATATATATATGTTAATTGTAACTATTTAATAAAAAGTAACTAAAATAAAATTTTTCTTTGTTGACCTTAAATAGAAATTGACTTTTTTTTTTATTTCATATTACTTGTTTCTTATTCCTCCCTGTCTTCTTCCCCCCTTTCTAATTTTTTTTCAATTCATTCTTCCCCCTTTCTAATTTCATTCAATTTAATAGCTATGTGTTTTGTAAGAAATATTTTTTTTTCCCAAAGAAAAAGTCTGTTGTTGTGATATCTCGCAGGTCGTAAAATTAGTCCATCACGTCCACTTCATTTGTTGGAAAAAAGATCATGTCTAGAGGTATTCTAGTACAATAGCTCGTATATCTCTATATGTTGAGATACGCAGAATTGCTCAAAATACGATATGTGTGATATAATAGACATAACAGTTCACTTAAATTTATTTGTGTAGTTAACTTTGAATTGCATTTTACGTTTGTAAAAATATTTAATACTTATCAATAGAATAAAAACCTTTCTTAAACCTTTTTTAAAACCCTGATTAAATTATTACTTTTTACCCTCGACCAATACCGTCAAATTATAAAGCACCACCAAATGGTGTGATATGCAGATAATAGTGAAAATCCGTTCCCCCACATGTTGAGACAATATTGTTCATGCATATTCAAACAGTAATTTTGAAGCCTCATGTTCAAAACATTGCTTGTTACTTATTATGTTTTTCTCTTATTTTGTAGTGAAAAATATTTAAAATTTGATGTCTAGTCTGTAGGAATCGCAGGGCAGTATTTTGAAAAAAACTGTCTAATATGTGAGTACCCGAAAGATCATAAGATTAGCAAAATGGGAAAAACAATCAGAAATTTCGCGGAACTGCACATTACAGATTCAAACTTATGCAAATTTATGTGGCATTGTCTACATTAGTGGTCTTCAAATTTTTTTGGAACCCCTAGAACTAGAAGGTGTTTTCGTGGAATCTTTAGAACTAGAAAGTATTTTCGTGGTATCCTATTCTCTACACACACATCCTTAGAAAAATATTTCTTAAAATAATGTGCAAAGTAGATCATATAAAGGCCACTATATAACACCTACCCATACATTATATTTAGTAACTGGGATATGTAGAATTTTTTCACACAAACTGTTGAAGTCGAGATCTATTGAGAATAGCTGCAATCGCATTACATATGAAGGAAGATTATAACTGGATACATTTCGACCCGAAAACGAGTATCTTAGCCACCATGCCAAAACGATCCTCCAAGCATGGAGGCTATTACTGGTTTACATTGATATCGCACCACCACACATATATTTGTTTTTATACTTTGATTTTATAGCCACTCACTTTGAGAAATATTTTTCACTTATACACATTGTCCTGAAAGGTATTAAAATGCTTACGACTGTAAGAAATACTGTGTATTTTGTATGGATTTGCAACATTAGATTTAGGATCTGCTCTTGCTTAAGTTTAGATTTTTAACATCGAATTTGTTAAAATGATGTAGAAAATAAATATATTTATTTTATTTTTTTCTTTTTATATTTTTTTCCAAAAATATAAAAAGGTGCATTTTCCATTTGAAAACTATTTAGTTTTGAAAAACACTGTACTAATGAGTATAAAATTATCTCGTGAAACTCAGGATAGTAAACTATAAAATATCCACTCCGTAGTAAGTTATATATACTTATAAAGATAAAACGTTTTAATATTTTTTATTACAATATAATAAAAGTTTAAAGAATATTGCAAAATAAATTTAATATCTATGAATAAAATTTTCTGTTTCTTAATGACAGGGATGAGCTTTAAATTCTTGTGGGTATACAGAATTTTAGAGAAGGCGAATCCTTTTGCATATTCATTTATACGTTTCTTTTCAATTTTTTTTTATTGTGACTCGTGGAACCCCTGAGTATGCCTCATGGAACCCCAAAGTTCAGTGGAACACTGTTTGAAGACCACTGGTCTACATAAAGAATAATTCGTCACGATTTTAAGGTATCCAACTACCCTAAAATCATGATTTTTTTTCAAAAATTCACAAATTTTATGACTTTATTTTATAGGCCATCTTTTTAGCTTAATAACAATACCAAGTTTTTTATTTTCTCTCCACTAGAACAAAAACTACAAGCGTTTTAGTAAAAGCAGATGCCATAACTTTACACAAAATGTCAAACTTTAAAATGCGTTGTACTCGAAATGTGTTTTTTTTTCCGAAAAACTCAAACGGGGACAGCGATTGCTCAAAAAGTTTTGAAAATAATTTGCTGAAATTTTTTGCTTATGTTCTGCATAACAGTAGAAGTATTTTGATCTTCAGATTTATCAATCACTGTTTTATTTCAAAATTTGCAGTCCTCCATGAGAATATAGTCAATGTTTTTTAAGCAATTTCATACAATCATTAAGAGATAAAGTGTTCTAGTTTTTGTGTGTAAAAATTAAAACATCTCTTATCCTGAAGGTTACTTCAAACAGGAATAGCAAAGTAACACATCAAAATTTAAAAAAAAAATTGAGAATTTGTTCATAAAATCTTTGTACAGAGCGGGCCACATTTATGTAATTTTTTTGTACATTTTTTCTAGTTTTTTCCCATTTTAATAATAATAGATTTTTTTTATCAATTTTAGAATTTTTTCCTTAAAATATACTAAAGAAGTATAAAAATCACAAAAAAAATCCCCATACCTCCATTTTTTCAAAAAAAAAAGTTGTCGCAAGTAGTCGGATACCTTAAATACCATTATGGCATTTTAAAACACCTGGATATTATAGTCTTACTTCTTTAGTTTATTTTTTCAAGTACGTGTAATTTTTTTTTATAAATTACATTTTTATATAATTTTATTATACATACCTAAAAAAATTCCCATTACTCTCCGAAGACACAGATTTAACGTGCATCCTTCTCCTACACGGTGGGTCTTTAGTGGTGCTGGCCCGA